TGTTAGTCTTCTCAACCTGATTTCAACAATTTACGGTTTGATTATCTTTAATAGTAATATACAGGGTGAGTTACTAAGCACGCGTTGGTCCATATCGCCTATAAGTACTAATGCAGATCAAAGAAAAAACTAAATACAAAACGTGTACACTTTATTTTTTCCCACGATAAATTTTGACATTGAAAACTTTGAAACATAAACAATAACGCTTGACCCTGATTGGTCGCAAAATGAAGTGTTTCTGCAGGTTGACATCAGTTTTATAATAGCGACCAATTAACGGCATTAGCGGCATTGTTTATGTTTCAAAGTTCACAATGCCAAAATCTATCTTGGAAAAAAATAAACCATAGATAAACAAGACTACTACATTCCTAAATTATTTTCCAGTATACAGCGTGGCCCAATAAGTAGTGGTGACACAAAGTTTTGTTTTTTACATGACTCCTCCTGTATAATATGACATTTCTGGATTCTGCGGAAAATTTTAAACATATTTCACGTACAATGTCATATACCTATCTTCAACTGTTTTGGAAATATTAACAGTTGAAAATTGACTTTTTTGTATCTTTGACAGATTGTAAAACCTGAACGGATAATTTTACAGCAAAACCGAACATACATCTTAGTTTTTCATAAACTATCATTTGACACCAACCTTGAATTTAATCCATGATTAAAAATTCCGTTTAAATTATCAATCTTCGGTTAAATTCAAAGTTGGTGTCAAATGATAGCTTATGAAAATCTAAGATAGGAATGTTAAATCGGTTTTCCTCTAAAGTTAACCGTTTAGGTTTTAAAGTCTGTCAAGGATGCAAAAAAGTGAATTTTAAACTGTCAATATTCCCGAAACAGTTGAAGATAGTTATGACATTAAACATGAAATGTGTCTGGAATTTTCCACAGAATCCAGGAATATCATAATATACAGGGGGAGTCATTTTAAAAAACATAATTTTGTATCACCACTACTTATTGAGCCACCTTGTATACTGGAAAATAATTTAGGAATGTAGTAGGTACTCATGTTTATCCATAAGTTTTGTATTTAGTTTTTTCTTTGGTATTTGTTAGTATAGGAGATATGGACCACCGCGCGCTGAGTAACTCACCCTGTATAGGCCAGCAGGCAAGTAATAGATAAAGAGGCGAGGGGGGGTAGTTGGAAAGTATTCCGAAATAAATAATATTTTGGCATGTCATTTGTGGATAGTCTGTGGAGTAAAATCTAATTTTTCGACCTCAAGGTCCCTGTGCTAACTTGGGGGAATTGGAAAGACCTAGACATTTTCGAACTTTTTCAGTTTTTTACTTATTACTTCTAAGCCATGCTTTTTTCACAGAATACACCTATTTATTTATAAGGTTGAAGAAAATTAAATTTCTTCCAAATTCAAAAGTATTCTTTAACGCAATAGTAACCGGAATACAGTGGTTCAAATATACAAAAAAGTCTCAACTTGTCAAAAATTTCTTCCTGTCCAAACATAATTCGAACCAGGCATGGAATAACCATCTCTCATCCTCGTCTCTTTCATGTGCACTCACAGTCTACTGTGCCCCTGAATTATTTTTTTATTGTATTCTATTTTAATAATGATTTTTAGAAAAATAAACCTTTTTTAATTTTGATTTTGATGTCATCCGTGCTGAACTCGCCTATCTACTGACCATCCACCTTTCCTGGAGACAAAGGAACCATTCTCAATAGGCACAGGAGCTGTTGCTCCTGAAGTTGTGAACCACCACTTAGCCAAGTATCTGTTTCCTTTTGACAAAAAGTTCACAATATACCCTCTCACTCTCTTTCAACGGATTAGCATAATAAAACAATCAGATGATGACCTTAGAAAATTATTGAAATATGAGCTAGCCCCCTTCCCGATGTCTCTTTCCACAGAGGGAGGTATGCACAAGGGCACAAAGTCAATGTTTTATGCGGCATTCACTCCTATCCAAGAACTATCCTACTACAAGAGGTTGTATGGAGCAAATCAAGAGATACGACATTTGAATTGGTATGCCAGAATTACGTGGATTATGTTCAAAGACACTTCGGGAGATATAACCTAGGATAACAAAAAGATAGTGGGTGCACCGTGTATTCGAAGACCTATTCAACGATTCAGGGACATCTTTTTATAAGAATGTAATAGAAGAAACTCGAGAAGAAACTATTCCTATTTTCATTCGAAGGACATTTAATGGCAGTTTAATGATTAACATTTTGACCCTAATTTTCCATTACCTAAGTGATGCCTACAGTCGGCATATGTTTAACAACTCCACACTTAGCTGGATGGATGGTAAATTGCAGTGAAAAATAGTATAAGTAATAATAATAGTAATTGTGCCATCTTAACCTGATGTAATGTTTTTATTCTTGAAATTTGTTTGTAAAATTCGTTAAGGTAAATGTTTATTTTAATTTATGTAAATTTTAGCCTGTTTTTTTTTTTTTAATGTAATTTTTAGCTTGTGTTTTAAACCTTTTTAAACTATTTTAATATGTAAATTGGAATTAGACAGTAGTTTTTATTGACAAGTGTAAACACATGAGTGTAAATTAACACAAATAAATTGATTTGATTTGATTTGATATTATGTTTAGCTTATACATGCTATAACAATATGTTGAACTTTAAAAGAAATAACTAGGAATTGGAAAATATCGAGGAAAATATTTTTATTTGTTGGTAACGAGTTGGAAATACTCACTTGGAAACTCGCTTGGAAATACAATTTATTTTTTGGAAATGCTTTGGAAATATCTGATAATATTTAGAAATATGCTCGGAAATATGTAAGTATGTACTTGGAAATACCAGGGAATATTTGGAAATTCTGTCCAAATTTGAGAAACATTCCCGGAAACTGGAAATCACTGTACCTACATTTTTTCATGAGTTGTTGACCCCTTGGTACTAAGATGAATTTTATTGTTGTTGATTTTTGTTGAGTTTGAAAATATTGAGATTTTTTTTATTTTTTGTTTTACTTATTGGTTTTGATATTGTTTTATGATAGGGAAGTAAGTATTAGGCGAGGTATTAGGTATAGATTTTCAATTTTTATGTTTAGACTGAGGTTTAGACATAGCTGAGAACATACCTACTTATAATGTAAACTTTAATTTTTGTAATAGGGGTTTCCTGTTAAATAAATAAATAAAAAATAGATAAATAATTTGATAGATGTGATAAAGAAAAAGATTTAAACAGTATTAAGAACAAGCAAAAATATAGTTTTAGGAGAATGAGAATAGAATAGCATTTCTTGAACTGTTACATTGGAGGCATATGAGGAAGCATAGTTAGTTTTAGGCAAGGTTTTAGGTTGTAACTGTTTATTTTCATTTTTTTTTCTGCAGAAGAAACAAGGAAGGTATCCCGAGAGGTAACCTGTTGTAGAACATATTTTAGGTAATTGAGTAAATAACAATCTATCCTCGAATCTATCCAAGAATCTACCTAAATTAAATCAAACTAAACACATACAGGCGTTATTGGTTGGTTCATTTATTCATAAGTGTAATTTACCTATATTTAATATTAAGTAACAATATTGTAATTATTTGAGAATAATTTGAATTTTGGTATCTGTAATGTAAGGAGGGTTTGTGGAAACACAAACAATAATCTTATTCATCTCATGCATTAAATGCATTTGAGTTTTTCAGTAATTTAGAAGAGGAGCAAACAAAAAATTAAAGTTCAGTTGAAGCACAGAACCCAAACAAACATTGCTGTCTGCGATAGATATCAGGTTCAAGTTCATTTACCTTTTTTTCGAAAAATCGAAATAAATTCATAATTGGCTCAAAACCCAAAAAATAAACCTTTAATTTGTGTAATTAATATTTTAATAAAATAATTGGCCATTGAAACCAATCGGCAAGCTTGTGGTGGGTATCGCTTGCACCTGGGTGTCAATTCAAGAGCTATTTTACGGAGTATCCATATTAATTAGGTAATTCCCATACCCTTATCTGGCTTTGTGATCACTCGCCCTAATTAATAAAAGCCTTTTTTCGAGGGCCATCCGCCATTCCGCGATATAAAAAAATTAATTCGGACATGTTACATAAAATCCCGAATTAATTAAAACAAATGGATCGTAGACAAACAGTACCTAAACCGACTATTACCGAGGAAGAGAGTTCTCTCTTGAAAGCCGGTTAATTAAAATGCACCACTTACCTCCGACACGATACATGTTGGCCGTCATTTTGCACCACTAAATTTTCTAAACAGTCCAGCGAAAAACTAAACGAAATAAACGCACATTATCCGTCAATTTCCACAAGTTTTCTTCAATGTTTTGTTAGGGCACCACGTACCACCACCAAACTTTCGGACGCCATTTTCTCGATTGGATTGGATTGGCGTCTGTGACTTCGACAGAAAGAAAAGAAGAAACGAAATAAAAATTCAACCGCAGCGCCAAAAAAACGCGTAGCGGCTGACCGACGAAACACTTGATTGCGCCGATAAAGAAGAAATAATTTGATTTTTTTTTTCATTTCTAGAGTAAAAATAACCCAAAGAGTTTTATGGTAATCCCTTGGATTTTCATTGAAAATGTTAAGAATTTCTCAAATAATTCAGGAAGCACTAATTTTTTGTATTACAAATAATTATTTCAATTTCCGTCCACTGGATGCACTAAGACTAAATAAATGTATTGTGATAAAAGAAAAAGCTACAGAAAACTAATGTTTTCCTCCACGTTTTATTATCCTATGAAGAAAACTGTTGCCCGCTTTTATCGCCATCTGTTGATGAGTGAATAAGGTGAACTGAACAACTTAACCTCAAATTTGTCTGTCAAAAAAACAAAAACAAACAACAAACTTCAAATTTAAATTTTCCCATTCAAAGAAAGTGGTGATTGGAGCAAATTACCAAATGTTGTGAAATGCCAGTAAATCCCCATTTCAAGCCCAGAATATAAGTTCACTTAGCAACAAACAAACAATCAATATACTTGAAACCATGTCCAAAGAAACATCCACAACCTACAAAGGAACTAGTATAAAAGATATTTGCAATGGCAAAGGCCATTGGTCTTTTCCTATAACGCCAGTCAATCCTTCAAAGTACCATTACGTCCTCTACAATGTTCCAGTAAATCTTCAAAGTCCACCTGAACCGTTTTGTGCAAAAGATGTTGCATTGTGTGACGATGATCATGTTAAAATGCCCAATTCTGAGAAGAATTTGTTTGTAGTACAAGAGGTAAGAACTTTCAGCTTTTTCAAGGTATACCTACATGCGAGCCTACATGTTATGATATTTCACCTTTACCTCATTCACCTTGTTATTATTTTAATTTATTATATTTATTGAAAAGGCAGGCAACTCTGCAGTTAGTAGTAGGTAAGTAATTCTTAATCTATTGCAAAGGTATAGATTCTTGAATAGATCTCAAGTTTTGCGGTACGAACTTGCTCAAAACCTCAAGCTGTGATTTCTAGACCACCACCGAAGGGGTCCATTCGAGGGTCCATTCCTCGGTCCATTCTTGGTCCCCTACTTTATATACTCGGAAAATGTTGCAACTGAGTTAAACCAGGACTTGGAGAGAGTCGAGGAGAGAATTTTGAAGTTTTCCACGGAGAATAACCCGAGGAATAACCTTAGCATCAACCTCGGCATCAACCCTAAAAAGACAGAAGTTCTCTTTTTTGGTCAAGAAGATTAGGGAAGTCTCTGACTGATCATTTAAGAACAAGAATTGGCACTGATATTTTTGATTTTTCGAATTGATGGCCATCTAAGGTTTCATAAAAATGTACAAAGTTTGCTGTAAGAAAGTTTTCTCGAAAGTTATATTAAGATGAAGCTCCTATATACAAACAGGTATTGTTTGCCCAGCGGATCTGAGTCTACGGCAGGAATTCGGATGTAAATGCGCCATATTGCCACGTTTAATTATAAAAAAGTGAAAATTCTAGACATTTTTTTTTTTTAACAAATTCTTTATTAATTCAATTCAAAATACAAATCACACAAATTAGTAAAATCCTTAAAACAGTGCTCAACTGCACTGGTACCAAGGATATATAACAAATAAACAGTGTGTATCTAGGAATAATTGTCTACAACTATAGTAACTAGAAAAGAAAATTTTGTAAAATTATTTCTACCTGTATGTATTAATAATAACAATATATAGGTATAAATGCATATCTATACCACCAAATAACAAATGTATGCCAACCTCAACCCAAAAATTTAGATAATAATAAAACAAAAAACGAAAAAATATTTTTCCCCCCCTAATATAATACTTAACTCAATTATTCTAACAAGTAATTTATGAATTTTCCAGTAAATTCACTAACAGAGCTCGTTATTTTAATTCTGTCCGGCAAGCTATTATATCTTGTAGCAGCCTGATAAAATGGATTATACAATCCTACATTAGTCCTAATATTATTATTCAAAAATAGAACATGTTGTGCTCTAGTATTATGATCATGAATACTATCGGAAAATATAACACTTATATTAGATTTTTGAATATTATTGACTACTTTATATATATATTTACCCTGCTCGAGTTGTAAAACATTTTTTAGCATCATAACACCCAAATCCCTATACAGGTCCACAGTGGGAGTACGCCAGTCTAATTTAAATAGAACCTTTAACACCTTGTTTTGCAAAATTTGCATTTTATTAAAATCAACTGCACCACATGTGCCCCATACAGGGATCAGGTATCTAAAATGCGACAGGAAATATGAATTATATACTAACATCTTACTTTCTTTGGTTAAATAGTCTCTAGCTCTATAAATAGCAGCTAACATAGGAACAATTTTATCTGTTACATGCATAGTATGGTCTCTCCAGTTTAAATGCTCATCCACGATAAGCCCCAAATACTTAGTATGAGTTACCTTTTCAATTTGAACATTATTTAATTTGATTACAGGATCTCGAGAAAGTTTGTTTTTCTGTTTAAAAAAGATAAAATTTGTTTTAGCAACATTAATTTTTAATCTATTGTGCAATAACCACTTTGAGTACTTTCCAAGATCGTTATTGATAACTATTTCCAAGTTCTCAACATTTTCGCCACTGTACACCAGCACCGTATCATCTGCAAATGTAAAGTATTGACCAGTCAGACCAGCGCTTCTGAGGCTGAGCACATGCAATGAGTACAACAATGGTCCAAGGACGGACCCCTGTGGCACTCCACACTCGCCGGACTCCATATCGCTGGTTAACCGGCCAACACCCACAAATTGCTGTCTCCCATCCAGATAGGATTTCAAAATGCTATGCACAGGCCCTCTAAATCCCATATTGTACAGTTTCCCTAACAGAACATTCCAACAAACAACATCAAATGCCTTTTTAAGATCAATGAAAATTGCAACAACTACTTTTTTAGCTTCTAATTGAGTACATATTTTGTTTACAAAATCCATTGTGGCACTTAATGTGTTACTATTTTTCAAAAAGCCATATTGAAATTTATCCATATGAATATATTTTTTAATGAAGTCTAGCATTCGACTTTTAAGAACCCTTTCTATAATTTTGGAAAAGGTGCTTGTCAAACTAATGGGCCTGTAATTACCCATAAGATTCCGTGAACCCGACTTGAAAATAGGCGTAATTCTATTTATTTTCAGCTCTTCAGGAAATCGGCCAGATACGAAAATGTTATTAATCAGTTTAGTAACAATTACAACTAAATTTCTACCTAAGTTTCGAAGATTACTTACCGTTACCTGATCATTTCCAGGAGCTGAATTACGTTTTAAACTATTTACAATATTTAAAATTTCCGCTTCATCAACTACCGCCAAATATAGAGTATTTGCACAACTAATTTCATTAAAATTAATCATATCATCAATATTATTTGACAAACCCTGTATTTCTGTTTCTACCTCATTGACAATAATTACTTTACCTACACTAGCAAAATGCCTATTTAAACAATCTAATATTTCCCGCGGATCATCGGTCATTTCATTATTTACCTTAAGCTCTTTAATTCTAGTTTGACTACCTGACTTTTTGGTATTTAATAAATTATTTATAACAGACCATTGCTTTTTTGTATCACACCCTGCATCAATCCATTTTTTCCTAAAATGCAAATTTTTCAGATACTTAATTTTATTGTTGACCCTATTTTTTACAATTCGAAACTGATTCGCTATTGCCATATCATTAATGTTTTTACGCATTTTTTTGTACAAACTATCTCGTTCCTTAATTAAATCTAGCAGCTCCTCTGTTATCCAAATATTATTATTATTACACTTGATTTTACGCTCGTATTCAGCTATAGATTTACTGTTCATTATTACATTGATGAGATCCTGAAATGAGTTGATTTCCACAGAAGATATCTGCCGCTCAAACGACCTTGTAAATTTTTTGTAATTGATTCCTTTGAAAGTATAAATGGTTTTTTCGTTGACTGGTTTAACTTCTTCTTGTAAATGTATAATTAGTTTTTCATGATCTGATAAGGCATTGGGTTCTACATTTACTGTACATTGGTTTTTAAATTTAAAATAGGTTATTACATGATCAAGCAGTTTATTAGAATCAGGTGTAATCCTAGTAGCGTTATGAACATCAATTTTGTTTTTTATATAAAAATTGCTGAGAGCCAACATATTTTTGTAATTTATAATTTCCCTATTATCTAGATCCAATAGATTTAAATTCATATCTCCAACAATAACATGATTCTTTGGATAACAATTTATTATATTTTCTAAATTATTCACAAATTCCATAAAAGGGTAAGATGGGGGTTTATACACTAAACTAAGATTCAAATTGACATCGCCTATCTGTATACCTACATAACTAAAATTATCATTGCTATCAGACTTTTGCAGTAACCTAAAATTCAATTCGTTCTTTATGTATATAGATGCTCCACCTCCCCTTTTTTCTCTACATGAATGCACCGATTGATAACCATCTAATTCAAACAAATAAGTTTCAGCATAAGAGAACCAAGTTTCAACAAACAGAAAAATATCAAAATTACCTTTTTTTGCAACACATTGAATATCATCAAACTTGTTTCTCAAGCTCTGTATGTTACAATACACTACACTTACATTTTTATCAGTTAGTTTTTTAAATCCGCTTCCTTACTAATAACCATAGCCCTACTACCTTCATTTTTTTTTAACAAAATTATTCCATTACTTATCCAAAGGTACATGAAATTATTCGTCTTTCTAAACAATTGTGCTTTTTTGAACAAATTCAAGTTATATTTGGTCAAATCATGGTTCAAATAAATCCTATGATTAGCCTCAAATCCTAATGCTTTTGAATCCAAATCAAATTTTCCAGGAGCTTTCATCAATCAGGAGTTCTTCATCCTTGAATATTATTTTTATAGGAGTCTTCAAACCATCTTCCTTTACTCCAGCCCTGAAGGCTGTGTAGTTGTTATCCAAATCTACATGAAGTGCAGATCCAATTTTTTTAACCAGCTGCTGTAAATTTTCATTAGCCTTATACGGGACTCCCTGTACAATAATATTTTTATTTAAGTGACATGAAGTATAGTTCATTTGAAAATCCATTTTTTAATAACAAAATATTGATAACAATAATAAAACGCTAAATATTTTAACGTGGTTGTTAGATCTATTCTTATTTCTCCTGATTTCTTCAATTTGATCTATTGTAAAAAATAAACATTTTCTAAATATACCATCAGCTTTTGACAATTTGGAAAGCATCCGGCCTGGATAAACCTGATTGGTGCAATACGATAACACTTCCAAAAAGTTCCGCACGCAGCTGGGTATTTTATGAATGAAATCAGCCATTTTTTTTTACAACTGCATTCCCCTCACCGTTGCCCCGTAGACACAGATTCGCTGGGCAGACATTAGGTATATTCTCAACTTCAAAACTACGGTCGAACCAGTGAACTATAGCTAAAAACTGGAATGCGCACACATTGCCATATCTGCCAAAAAAATGAAGCCATGAAAGACAGATGCCACAAGGGGGAATGTTGTTTTTTTCTATTGCTCGGTGACATATGATGTTTTCGAAAGTTTTCATATTTCCCTTCACAGGTTTCATCAATTGGAATACGTGTTGGAAGCAATTTTCGCCATTTAACATAATGAGTGCGACAAAAACAGGTATCCCCTCCGCAGCAGCCGCACTAGGCCTCACGTTCGCCATATGTGTTCGCATTCCAGTTTTTGGTTATAGTTCAT